AGGTATTGACCAGGCCCTTGTGCTTGTGAGGCAGGCTTAGTGCCACTGAGCTAAATCCCTGGCCCTGTTTTCCCTAATCTTTAAAGGCTGGGTTGGCTTTGAAAACCATCCGGGCCCCAACTGGGCCTCCCCTTTCCACTGTCAACTGAGGCAAGCCCTCCAGGAAGTGTGACCTGGGGTGCTCTCAGAACTGCTTGCCCTTCAGTGGGTGACTCCAGAAAGGAACCTCCAGGATGAGGACGAGTCCAAGGACTCTATCATCCAAGCAGGAGGCCAGGATTCCAGGATTCCAACCTGGACCGTTCCAGATCTCTTCCTTGAGAAAAATGGCAGTGGCCAGCAAGGTTTCCAACAGCAGGAGCAGAGAAGCAGCAGCCAGGAGGTGAGGGCCATTGGGGAAGGCAGCAGAGGGCAGGAGAGAAGCCAGGGTTGCTGCGGTCCCTGGGAAGGGCCAATGACAGGGACCAGAAGCACCACCAGGCTGGAGCCAGACTTGTATGCCACCTCCAACCATCCCAAGGCAGCCCTCACCTCCTGTTCACTTGCCCAGAGGGAAGCTGAGCTCCCAGCAGGAACGCTGATCTCCCAGGACCACCCGAGTATCCTGACACCTGTGCACTCGTCTCCACACCCGCAGGGGGTGCCTCCATCCTCCCTAGCCAGCATTTCCAGCTTGAGCTTGCTTACCACGCATACCTGTCTGCAATCTGTTCCTGGGTCCCGGCTTCCTCTGACCTTGACCTCCCCACGCTTAGCCACACAGAGCGGGACACACTTCTCTAGACACCTCGCCGGGTGCACACAGAAAGCACACACACGCGGGGCTGGAGAGCCTCTGAGTACGCACAGACGGGGCACAGGCACGCAATCACAAAGTCACGCCACACACACGAAGGGCTGCTGGGCTGGGGTCCCAGGGGAGTATGGGGCCTGGGGTCTTGTGGGTCCCCGGGGCTCCCTGCCCAGTGCTTGGCCCCTGGCAGAGCACAGGCATGGGAACCCCCGACTTGGGCGGCTCAAGGCACTCGACCGAGGTGCCCAAAGCGCTGGAGCTCACGGTTTGAGCAGGGACAAACCTGGGATGGGGTGCCGGAGTGACCATTCATCCCCGGGAAGACGTCCAGAGCACCGTGGGAATCTGCCCCCCACTCTCGCGGGCTCCCAGCTGCTCCCCGGCTCTGGGTCCAGCAGGGAGAGCGTTGCCGGGGTGGGGGGGCAGTCCGTTGCTATGCAACCTGCATCCCAGGCAGGCCACGCGGCGCCCACGACTCGACTCGCTCCAGAGCCAGAGTCCCAGGACGAAAGCACGCCCCACCCGGGCCAAGCCCAACTTCCTGGCAGGGCGAGGTGGACCAGGGGCTCCGGTCGCCCAAGTCGCATGCCTCGAGCCCTCACCCCGCTCCCCTAAGTGCCTGCTTCCCTCGGAGCGCTACTACCCAGCGAGCCTCGGGTGGGGGGCTCCCTACCTGTTCCTCTGAGAGCCCAGCCGCCCTCCTAGCCCGCCTGCCCACGCCACCTGCCGCCCGCCACCCTACCTGAAGCATGACTTTGTACTGCTCCTCCGGTTTCTGGACCACGCACATATTGCATCCCATGGTGCTGGCAGGCAGGGAGGCGGGGGCGGGAACGGGGGCGTC